AGGTTATAGCCAGGTGGGGGTTGGTCTCTTCTCCCAGGCAACCAACAATAGGACAAGAGGACACGGGCTCAAGCTCTGCCAGGGGAGGTTTAGGTTAGATGTTAGGAAGAAATTCTTTACAGAGAGGGTAATCAAGCATTGGAACAGCCTACCCAGAGAGGTGGTGGATTCACCATCCCTGGAGGTTTTTAAGCAGAGATTGGATGTGGCCCTTAGTGCCATGATATAGTAATTGGAGTTGGATCAGGGGTTGGACTTGATGACCTTGGAGGTCTTTTCCAACCCAATCTATTCTATGATTCTATGATTCCATGATTCAATGAAAGTCATCATCCTTGGAGACTCTGGGATGGGAAAGACATCACTCATGAACCAGTATGTGAACAAGAAATTCAGTAATCAGTACAAGGCTACAATAGGTGCAGACTTCCTGACAAAAGAGGTCATGGTAGATGACAGGCTAGTGACAATGCAGATATAGGATACAGCAGACCAAGGACAATTTCAGTCTCTGGGAACTGCCTTCTACAAGGGAGTGGACTGCTGCATCCTGGTGTTTGATGTCACAGCCCCTATCAAAACCCTAGGCAGCACAAGGGATGAATTCCTTATTCAGGCCAATTCAAGGGATCCTGAGAACTTTCCTTTTTTTGTGCTGGGAAACAAGACTGATCTAGAAAACAGACAAGTCACCACAAAACAGGTGCAAGCCTAGTGCTACAGTAAAAACAACATCCCCTACTTTGAAAACAGTGCCAAGGAGGTCATTAATGTGGAACACTCTTTCCAGACAATTGCATGCACTTAAACAGGAAACCAAAGTGTAGCTTTATGATGAATTCCCTGAATCCATCAAACTACACAAGACTCACTGAATGAAGGCTTCTGTAGAGAGTTGCAGCTGATGAGGGGAAGGGAGGGGTTGAGCACAGTCCTTCACAAACAAATATCACACTTAGGCCTTCAAACACACAGGCCCTCTTCTGTGTTTAAAATGAAATTAAAAAAAAAAAATCCATCTCCAGCTGTCAAAATCCACCCATCTCCCATGAGCATCTGAGGCCTGCATTTCAGAGCTCACGTCCCCACACTGTCCACATCACATTTCATGGTAACAGACCTTTCTCTTAGTTTAGGATGGAAACTCATATATGCTTTAAACTGCATCTAATTCCAGTTGTCCAATGGAGAGAAACTGTTTGCAGGTAATCTGTGTAACAAGTTACATACATTTTTAACTGTCTCATGTTTTCCCCTGTGAAGACTGCATCTGGAAAGGCTGGTTACCCATAGTTCATTGCAAGTTCAGCACTCAGTCCAACTAGGTTGAGTTTTATATGTATCTCTGTTAATGCTTGTTACTTTTAACTAATCAGATCTTTTTACAGTATCCATGTATTATGTAATGCTTCTTTAGGAAAAATCTTATAGTACATGTTAATATATGCAACCGATTAAATTTAAAAAAAAAAAATTAGGACCCTGGGAACTCCTGACCAGTCAACCTCATCGCTGTGCCTGGTAAGGTCATGGAACAGATACTCCTGGAAAGGCAGAAAAGGACCTGGGAGTTTGGATTGACAAGAAGCTAAACATGAGCCAGCAGTATGCTCAGGTGACCAAGAAGGCAAATGGCATCCTGGTCTGGATCAGGAACAGTGTGTCCAACAGATCCAGGGAAGTGATTCTTCCCCTGTACTCAGCACTGGTGAGGTCATACATGGAGTACTGTGTCCAGTTCTGGGTCCCTCAGTTCAGGAAGGACATTGTGGTGCTGGAGCGGGTCCAGAGAAGAGCAATGAGGCTGGTGAAGGGACTGGAGCACAAGTCCTGTGAGGAGAGGCTGAGGGAGCTGGGGTTGTTTAGCCTGGAGAAGAGGAGGCTCAGGGGAGACCTCATCACTCTCTACAACTACCTGAAAGGAGGTTGTTACCAGGTGGGAGTTGATCTCTTCTCCCAGGCAGCTATCAGTAAGACAAGAGGGCATGGTCTTAAGCTCTACCATGGGAGGTTTAGGTTAGATATTAGGAAGAAATTCTTTACAGAGTAATTAGGCATTGGAATGGGTTGCCCAGGGAGGTGGTGGATTCTCCATCCCTGGAGGTATTTAAGAAGAGACTGGATGTGGCACTTAGTGCCATAGTCTAGTAACTGTGATGGTAGTGGATCAAGGGTTGGACTTGATGATCTCAGAGGTCTTTTCCAACCTAGCTAATTCTATGATTCTATGATCCTATGTCAAGGCATATGGAAGGCAGGGATTAGAGACAGACAACATGCCCTAGGCAAGGGCAAATCATGCCTGACTAATGTACTGGCCTTCTATCTCAGAGGGAATGAATCAGGGATGGGGGAAGAGCTATGGATGTCATCTATTTGGACTTCTGTAAGGACTTTGATATAGTCCCCCACATTATTGCCACTAAATTGGAGAGAGATGAGTTCGACAAAAGTACTGTTAGATGGATAAGGAACTGGCTGGATGGCTGCATCCAAAGAATTTCAGTCAATGGCTAAATGTCCAAGTGGAAATCATTAACGAATGAGTCTGTACTGGGTCTAGTACTATTTAATATCTTTATCAATGATGCAGACAGTGGAATTGAGTACATCATCAGTAAGTTTGCAGACAACACCAAGCTGAGTAGAGCAGTTGATTCCCTAGGGGGAAGGGATGCCATACAGAGGGACCTTGAGAGATTTGAGGAGTGGGGCCATGGGAACCTCATGAAGTTCAACAAGGCCAAGTGTAAGGTCCTGCATCCAGTATGCATCCAGCTCTGGGGTCAGCAGTACAAAAAAGACACAGACCTGTTTGAGTGGGTCCAGATAAGGGTCACATAAATGATGAGTGCTGGAACACCTCTCCTATGAAGAAAGTCTGAGAGAGTTAGAGTTGTTTATCCTGGAGAAGAGAAGGCTCTGGGGACACCTTATTGCAACCTTTTAAAATGTAAAGGGGGCTTATAGGAAAGACAAAGAGTTTGTTTGTTTGTTTGTTTGTTTTATCAGGGCCTGTAGTGACTGGACAAGGGGCAAAAGTTTTGAACTGAAAGAGGATAGGTTTAGATTGGATGTGATGAATTTTTTTTATGATGAGGTAACTCATCATAACTGGGACAGGTTGCCTAGGGAAGTTGGGGATGCCCCATCGTTGGAAGCGTTCAAAGCCAGCTTGGATGGGGTTTTGAACAACCTGATCTAGTGTAAGATGTCCCTGCCATGGCAGGGGGGTTGGACTAGATGGTCTAATGTAAAATCTTAGAGATATCAATCTTACACTTTTATAGTGAAAAATTATAAGTGTCAGGGAAACTTCAGGACTTCCTACAGTTATATATACCCTGCTATTATTTGTCTTTGCTTCAGATCCTGGAAGGGCATGAATGTTTAAACTGGAACTTCTTATTGTTCAACTATGATTGTGGCAGTGAACCAACTTAAGAGTGTCTTGCTTTTGAAAGAGGAAGCTGCAGCTCCACCCACCCAGACACACCCACCTCTTTCCACAGGCATCGTTCCTTTGCCTCTGTTTTGTTGTCTGCTTTTCAGGCCCTCTGTGAGCTGATTTAACTCATCGAAATGGCAGAAAAAGGATATAAAAAATTAGTTTGAAATTGACTTCTAAAGGCTGTCTATTTCCAACCCCTTTCTCAAAGGAGATCTATTTAGATCTGGTAGCTCAAGGCCTTATTCAGTTGAGTTGTGAATGCCTCCAAGGACAGAGATCCTACAACATCTCTGGACAACCTATTCTAGCATTCAAAAACCTTTATGCTTTAAAAGGGGATGAGGGGGGGGATGGAATTGAAATTTCTCATGTTTTGTTTCTTTGTCTGACTCTTGTCCTATTGCCGTGTGCCTCTGAGAAGAGTCTAGCTTAGTCTTCCCTGTATCTTCCAAGTGGGTAGATTCAGACAGCAATAAGATATCTTCCAAAGTATTCTTTTCCAGTCTGAGCAAAACCAGTTCTCCCACTCTTTCCTCCTGGACTGTGTTTCAGCCTCCTGATCATCTTGGTGGCCCTCTGCTAGACTTGCTCCATTATGTCCATGTGTCTCTCGTCCTGGGGAACCTAAAACTGGACACAGAACTCTGGATGTGGCTTTGCCCATGTCAAATAGAGGGGGAAAAAAATCACTTCCCAGGACCTGCTGGATGCACTCCTGCTACTAAAAATATCCCAGCAAAAAAGGATGAAAAATTTTATGTCATCCTTATGACTTCAGTTAGGTCATGAGTCTTGAGTTGGTGCAAGAAGAGAGGATGTTTGTGTGTCCTGGAATGCAACACTTCCTCTTACCAATGCAGTGAGTGTTAGTTTAGCTGAGTTAAACATGAAGTGGTTGCCTTGGTTTGTTTCAGCCTCACAAGGCCTTCCCATTTAGGAGTATGTGTAATAAAATGGTATTCCTTAGAGTCTTGGGGGGTTTTGGGGGGGTTTTGGTTTATTTTTTTTTGTGTCAATGTTTTTTGCATTCAGAGAATGTAGTGCAACCTGGCTGGGTGTCTGTCATGCCAATCCTGTGTCTCAAATTTACAAATTCACATCTGCTACCAGGGTTCTGTTAAGCTGTACTCAAAGTGATCTTACAAATAGCAAGGAAAAATACATCTGTCTTACCTGGCAGTGTTATAAGTCTTCCTTTGTATTGGGGTAATAATTAGTACATACTACCAGAAGTTAGAACTTGTGCTTGTAACAGACATGTAAGCATTATTTATTTATTTTTCTCCTTGTGGTGGTTATCAGTAATTAGTGAAATAAAATATTTTTGGTAGCTAATGATTAGCTGTGCTGATTAAAAATGAACATTTACTGTTGGTATTCCAAGTGTTCCTGATGCAAAGAGCTACCGCACTGTGCTTTATTCCCCTAAGAAAAGCCTAGTTTCAAATAATTATATCATGAAAGTAAGATGGAAGGAAAATTTTCATGACCTATAATAATGACTTGAAGCTTTAACGAGGATTGGATGGATAGGGGAAAAAGCTAATCTACTACTTCTGCCCTCCTTGCATAATGCACAACAAAGTAGTACTTACAACTTTGTGTGGAATATAATCTGTAGTAAATTACTGGGCAATAACTTATAATTAATGTTTATTTTGGGAAATGCTTAGCATGGACAGAATTTGTCACAGTCTTGAACTTTGGAGGAAAGGAATCCTGGCTAGATTTATTTAACATTTTTATCATTAGAATTTCTCTATCATAGGTCAAAAGTCTCAAAAAAAACCGCTCCTATGGTCAAATATTTTTCATATAATACAGTATTTTAAAAGCCTTTCTGAATGGAATATTTTCTAAAAATCTCTGAAATTATGCTGTAATTATTTGTCTTTTCTGCAGCACAGCTTCCCTCTGGAATATGCATTTAAGGTGCATAAAGCCACCAACTGCAGTCAGAATTGAAGTGGTCAAAGCTATTTTAACTTGAAGATACAATTTTAGAGAATTCTTGCACAGGATATTGCTTATATGGTATTCCCCATAGGCTGACTCTTATTAGTTTAAAAAGCTTTCAGATTTGACTCTCTTTTTTATGCATGGTTCTTTAGATGATTCCTAATCTTCCCATGGGCTTTGAGACATGGGGTGTTTGTAATGGATAGCCCATGAAGCTTCTCAAATCAATACAATTTTTCCATGAATTTCATTGATTAAAAGTTTTAGAAAGCAAAGGAATTGATATACTGGTATTGAGGACATAATTATGCTGTTGTGTGATATATATTTAAGCAGATTTCACTGTAGAAACTTCTCTCTTTTCTGGCAGAGCTTTTATCTCAGTTATCAGGCGTGAGACGTTCTGCAGGCCAGCTCAATTCTTCTGGTCCTTCTGCTTCTCAGTTACAGCAACTGCAGATGCAACTGCAGTTGGAGAGACAGCATGCACAGGCAGCAAGACAACAACTGGAAACTGCCCGCAATGCAACTAGACGCACTAACACAAGCAACATCCCTACCACTCTTACACAATCTATAGCAGCAACAAATACATCTAACACAGAAAACAATCATCAGACTATACAGAATTCCCAGTTTCTTCTTATGAGGTAATTTGGTTTGTGGTTTTAACTCTGCCATTTCTGTTTTCCTTGGTCCTGTTGTGGTCATAGAGTTCAGTAAAACTACTGCCAGATCACTAAATTAGGTTTGTAGTTGAGATACTATGCTTTTGTTTGCATTGGTAGCATCTTTTCAATCCTGGTGAGTGTTTGTTCCTAGTAAATGAATATTACTTGCTGTTTCTCAATTTGTTAAACTGTGCTTGTTTACCCTACTACTTCTGATAAGACAAGAGCCTTTACAATAATATGTTTCAAACTTTTATGCTGATAATGTGAAGGGAGAGAACTTAAAAGGTAGTTTTATTTAATAGGAAATGAATCTTTAATGAAGGTTGAAGGTTGAATAGAGGTTTATATATAAAGTATTTTGGATGAAAAAAGCAAAGAAGGATTGTGCTCTTAATAAGCAGTATGCATATCTGTTTCAGAAAGTATAGCTACATCCTAAAGATCTATAGAATAGAATAGTTCAGTTGGAAGAGACCTACAATGATCATCTAGTCCATTCTACTATAGAAGAGTTGCCCACTCTCATTCCAGCTCTTTTCAGAGGTTTAGAATATTGATTTTCTGGATTCATGGGGGAAAGATGTTTTTCAGTTGCATGTTGATAAAGAACAAAGACATTTAAACAGTTTCTGTATCTAGAAACTGGGTTTGGGGCAAGTTATTGCTGTCATGCTGATTTCTATCAAAACTTGTGATATCTCAGTCCAAAGCTTTTTGAAAATCATAACTTTAGGGAAAGTATCTGCAAATGTCAGTCACTGATCTTATGAGCTAGGACAGAAGTGAAACAAGCAATTCTCTTTCTGCTATGGCGGTGGTGCATGCACTGATAAGTGAAGGGAATGGTGTACTGTGCTTTGGGAATCTCTGGGCATTATGCGTTTACTAATGTATTTTGTGTCATGCTTGCATTTAGAAGTTGTCCTGGGCACAAAATGAGCACTTAAGAGATGAGTAGAGAATTTTAACGCTCCTTAAAACATAACGCCTCTGTGGGGAAACAAATTTGAGAAATAACTATTTTTCCCCGTCAGCCTTAAAATGTATTTCTATGAAGTGGAGGATTTAAAGCATCTAGGAACAAGTTTGTTAAATGTTTGTATTCTTGCATCATGAGTGTCAGATATTGTCAGATTTGTATGTCAAAAGAAGTGCAGCAGTACCTAGGTTGTTTCTCAAAGGAATGGCTTTCAGATGTTATTCAGCATGCATCAGTCCAGCTGTTTAGGCAATTAGTGAAAGCCCATTTTTTTGATGATACTACTAAACCTGTCTTCTCTCTTTCTGTGATGCTATGCAGGTTGAATGATCCTAAGATGTCAGAAGCAGAACGTCAGTCAAAAGAAAGCGAACAGGCAGATCGCAGCTTGTTTGTTCAAGAGCTTCTACTGTCCACTTTGATGCAGGAAGAAAGTTCCTCCTCAGATGAGGATGAACGGGGAGAGATTGCTGATTTTGGTGCTATGGGCTGTGTAGATATTATGCCTCTAGATGTTGCTTTAGAAAACCTAAATTTAAAAGAGAATAATAAAGGAAACGAGCCTCCTCTTTGATGGCATCCCACTTTGCAGACAATGTCCTCTGTGCTGTATTTGCCAATGAAAGTGGACAACAACTATCTTGGGTTTGTTTTGGTGATTGTAATTTCAGGTCTGTCACTCTTGTTACATTGTGTACATTCAAAGGAAGAGAGAAAAGATATATATGATAATCATTTCCACTTAACCAATTTTTACTTTTAGCAGGTAAATATAGGTTGCAGTGCAGAGAAAAAAAGCTCTGTGTCCTGTAGCTTGACGTGCAAAAAAACTCTCCTAATACTCAACATTCAAACTGAAGAGGAAAAAATGAAAAAATCTGTAATGAAGCTGCTGTGTGTATTTATGAATATTAATGAATAAAACTTGCTTGGATGGTTTACCTTAATTACTGCATGATTTTTTTCAGTGTGCATGAGTTTTTAGTGACCTTGTCATTTAAAAAGGAGTAAAACTATAAAACACCAAAGCTTTCCCATTATTCAAAGGTAATGTGACCAAAAAAAAGATTAATGCTCACTAGCAGTTTGCAGCCGTAAAGTAACCATTGGGTAACACATGACCAATGACCTTTTTATGTACTCTCCCTATGTATTAATGAAAACTCTGCAGTGGGCTATATTTTTGCTTACAGAGTGTGACATTTTGCTGTATTGTGACCTCTGTGTTGCCCTGTTAGACATCATATCCATATGGAATTGAACTGTAGGAGACAAAAAACAAGGGCCACTACTGGAATCTATCACAAAGGGTTTTTTGTGCCCTAACACCAAATTTTGTTCAACTTTCTTTAAAGCTTTCTTTTTTGTGTTAAATATACCCTATTTAGATGTAAATGATCTGGTGGTGGTGGGGAGGAGTTAACTTGGATTATGTTGCTTTAGTTTTAAGACTTCATAGTCCTTATAATTTTGAGTTATGTATTCATAGTTTACAGAGACTCCTTACTATTTAGGAGAGCTTGAGGATTTGACCTCCCAGATATCTCCATATGTTACAATTTGGATTCTTAATGCTAGCTTCCTATCAACCTTTATTTATTGAAGTTTTGGGTTATATTTCTGACATAAAAATAAAGCCTCTTTATTGAGTCATTCTATTTGCCTATAGTGTTAATCCGATAAAGGGTTTTTTTATGGATTACTATAATAGCCCCAAAGCAAGGGACAGCAAGACTAGTTATTTGGAACATAAAGTTAGCTTATAAAGATAAAAAAGCATACAACTTTTGAAAATTAGACTTGAAAACCTGATGATGTTCCTAAGAGAACTGTGATATGTATGTTAATCTAAGATAACAGCAACAAAAGAAGCTACTCCATAGGTTGATATTTAAGTTCCATTCTCAATTCTCAACTTCCAATTGTTTCTATTTAGTAGCATATTAGCATTGTTTTTCTTTTAGTATCTGCAACAGAAAATGTTTTAGGGGAACTTTTTACACTAGTCTTCTGTTTATCTCAGGAGTTACCTTCAATAAAGATTCATTTTTAATGTATTGTTGAGGTTATTAAAAAAAATAAAAAATGAAACTGCAGTCTTTTAGGACATATCTTCTGCACATTACAAAAAGACTCCATTCCATAAAGCATTTAAAGAGCTGTTATTCAGTTGATTCTTTGGTGATGGTGTATTATCCAGATATCTGTAGAAGAAATTCTGGAATTAAACTATCCTTCACAACTGTATGCAAAGGCATTTCATGGTGAAACCATGGGTGATTTACATAAACATGTTTTTAAAAGTGCATATTCTGTGCAGTGCATATAGCAATGATGCGTTGAATTTTTAGAAAAGATGTGGTTAAAAATAGTATCAATAAATATTAATTTTTTTATTTGAAATCTTTATATAGCTGGTTTACTGAGGACATTTACATTGCAGGGTTTGCAAACTCCATTGTGCTTTTACTTGGAAAGCCAGTAAACTCTTGTTGTCCATGTTTATTATCGGAATGTGAGTATCTGCTGGCTTGCATTTAAAATTAAATTTAGTTACTGCATTAACTCCTCTAAGAATCACAAGCATGTTAGATTTTGTTAGCTTAGAAATAATGCCAAACAGTGACTGGGAGAGTGTTGTTCTAGCACTCTGCTGATGAGTATTTACAGGGAAGTGTTCTTCATTAAAAGAATGTTTCCCAGAATTATATTTTTGTTGATTTTGAATTACTGATGATTATTTTCATAACTCTGTGGGCTATAGTGAAAATAGCCTTTGAAAATTTTTCAAGGGAAACCTAGAGGGGATATTACATATTTTCCTGCCTAACACCACTACCTCAGAAAAGAGGTCCCTAGCATTCAGCATACCTGACATTCACATGAAGACTGTAGAATACTGTGCATTTGTGTGAGAGAAGTTTGTTTTCCCAAAAATGTGGAGCAGCCTGTGACAATCTTTGCAGAGAGACTACATCTATGAATAGAGCACATCTGGAATTTGGTGTACTCTCCTATGAATTTGCACCTCAGGGCTCGGGCATGGCTTGCTTCTGCATCCTCTGTTTATCAACCAACTATCTGTATGTTGCGTTATGGAGCATGGAAGTTGTGTTGAATTTTACAGGCGAAGATAGGGTGCCCATGTGCCCTTAGACTGTCTTGCAAGATGGCAAATGAGACTTTGCCCATGTGAGAATGCTGACCTTTTTGTATGTTAGCTCTGGAGACCAATGAGACTTGGATCAACTTGGTCTTTTACCTGCATTCTGTGCTGACTGAACACCCTGTAGCTGTCCTTAGTGTGATACTGATATTGAGCTTACAAGTGCTGCAAAAATGTTCCCTTCCGAGGGGATAAGGGCATATTAATGTATAGAAATGGGAAGAGATATGAACTTTTTTGAAACTGTTGGGGAACAAGTCCTGCTTTAGGTGCCTGTAACTGCTTATGTTTAGTATGTATGGTGTAATTCAGATTATTTGCAGCCCCCTTCCCCCCTCCCTTCTTCCCTTAGGGTAAAGAAAAAAAAACTATAAAAATTAAAGAACCCAAAGTCAAACTGCTTATATAAAAATATATCTATATTTACGTAAATTACAGTTATGTACAATTAAGATGCTATATACACAGTAAAAGGGGGTCCACCCCCCCCCCCCCAAAGGGATAGGGAAAGGGAAAAAAGGGACTAAAGGGAACAAAAGGGACACCGAACAGGTATACTAGATCAAACTCAAGAACTATACTGATAACTAACAAAACAGATCTCACCACATCCCAATCTGCAGGGTTGGCAGACACAGCCAGCACTCTCCAAACCTCCACGTGGCAGGACAGTGGACTCTGCAGGTTTCAGCCTTAGATAAGCGAGACCAACGCAGGGACCCACTGTTCCCAAACCTCGCTGGAAGAGAAGAGAGGTTTCTAATCTCTAACTTATTTATACTCTGGTTTACGTAAAAATCGTATGGAATACTGGGTACTTGGCCACTTCCTTGGTTACAAACTGGTCACTAGGAAGGCCTAGACCAAAACCATCACAATAAGGCTTTGTTCTTCCCATAGGAGCTTCTTGGTTCTCTCACTTCTATAATGGTGTTAGCTTTTGCCAGCAGTCTGGGCTCAGTGCACAAAGATAATGTTCTCATAGTCATTCTACACAGAAGAGACCATCATGATTGCTCATCTGACATGCAGTAAGGTTGGAAGAACTGAGAGCTTTGACAGTACCTCTAACTTGTCTCTCTCACTCTGAAAGAAATTAGAGCCTTTTTTTAACCTATCTTGGGTGTGTTATTCAAGGGTATGGACTGTTACTCACAGATTTCTTACAAACACTAGCTTGCCTCAAAAGCCAAGTGTCTACATGTGCATGCATTTCTGTCTTGGGTCCCCAGAATTGTGGAATGGCTGAGGTTGTTTGGGATGTCTGGAGGTGCCCTGGTCCAACATCCCTGATCAAGCAGTGTCTCAGAGCTGGTTACCCAGGATCATGTCCAGGTGGCTCTACAACCCCCCTTAGCAACTTGTTCCAGAGCTTAGTCACCCTCAGTGAAAAAGTGTTTCCTGATTCTCAGACAGAACCTCCTATGTTTCAGCTTGTGCCCATTACCTCTTCTCCTGTCACTGAGCACCACTGAAAAGAGCTTGTCTCCATCTTGTTTTCACTCTCCCTTCAGGTATTTATATACATTATTGAGATCCCCCCTGAACCTCCTCTCCTCTAGAATAAACAGTCCCAGCTCTCTCAACCTTTCCTCATAGGAGAAGTGCTCTAGTCCCTTAATCATCTTCATGGCCCTTGGTTGAACTCTCTCCAGCATGTCCATGTCTCTCATAATGAAGCACCTATGCGTGAGTCAGCACAGGAAGGGAGCTGGGACAACCACAAATACAACTAAAACACAGAGTAATTTTTTTTCCCATTAATTTGCTAACTGAGGGATCCCTGAAGCAACGTCCAGGCAGAAGCACACAAGCAGAGATGCAGGCACCATTACACTCAGTCCATGCTAGAGGATCACTGGCTTGCTGTTCACACTGGTTTATCAAGGGTTATTCCCAGCTGCAAGGTCACTTGAGCGATTTACAGTCCTCCTCAACAGTCTTCCGCACTAATTCAGCAGCATCTACATATGCTGTTAAAGTTGCTGTACACAGCCGTTTATATAGTAAAGGTGCAGCAGCATCCTGGCCATCAGGGCCCCTGATATTTTGTAATCAAGCATATCCCTGTTTGATCCTCTCTGGTTGTAGGACTTAATAGATCTTTTTCACATGTTAATAAGTGGAAAGATGCAGCACCACTATCCAAAGCTCGCAAAATCCATGCCAGTATGCCTTCCCCACTCTTCTCCTGGTAGACCTCTAAAAATTCCCTTAACTCTTTCAGACTATAAGTGCATGTGATCTGTACTCCTCTGTCTGTCAGATCCCTCTGCCCCTCCACTTGTATGAGGGGTAGTGCTTCTACCACCTCCCTATCTGCTAAATCTGGTTCAAACTCAATCTCAGAGTCCAAGGACTCACTCCAGATATTTCCATCCTGCTCCTTGAGATCCCATCAAGATTTCATAGTGAGAGCATGAACTTGGGAAATTGAAACCTTACTTTTCCCACCTCTGTGCCTTTGTTTGTTAGCAATACACGCCACCAGCCATTCTACAGTGCATTGCTGCTCATAGCGCCACTCTGAATAGTAATT